CTGGATTTCTTTTTTTTTGTATTTTGCAGACATTATTCCTAATTAAAAAAACTTCAGGTTTCCATTCTATTTTAACCCCTGTTATTGCCTCCAGCCATTTTTTGATCCTTTTCATGGGACTGTATTGAAGTAGGGAAAATACTTAGGGACAGAGAGTTGCATCTGACCATATACTGCATTCCGGTATGTGGTGAGTAATACGTTTTCTGACTTTTTTCTCCCACGAACTCAGTCTCTGCATATTGCTTTTATCCCACTCTTGTCTGGTTTATAAAAAGAAGAAAGCAATTAAAAATAGCACGGAAAGGAAAATGAGCTAAACAAAAGCAATTTATATTTAGGCTTGGCTGCCCCTCTGATTCTGTGCCAAACCACTTCTTTGTCACGAGTATTTAATTTTCATTCCTGACTGACAGTTCGTGCTTCCTCTTCTGTGAACGCCGGACCGGTTGCAAAGAGCAAGCTTAAACACCACCGTGGCGGGAATACAGTGCAAACAATGTCATTCTTGCTGCCAAGAATATTTAATCTTTTGTGAGCCAACGGTAGCATGTCTTTCTTGGCTTCAAGTACGACTCGGATATCTGAAATCTGATCTGCCTGGCTTTGTCCAAATTCGAGCAGCGATTTCTTTCCCGAAAGCATCCACGGGTTGATTTTAATATAATTTTTGGAGGGGCCAATACTCTCGGGGGAAACCCCAAGGTGCTTCTGAGCTTGTGTGTCTGAGTTTGTGTGTCTGAGTTTGTGTGTCTGAGTTGTTGTTCCTAAGAGCTTCTGCTCTTAGGCACAACAACTTCCTTGTTTTTGCTTTGAAGACGTTTCGCTTCTCATCCAAAGAAGCTTCTTCAGCTCGAATCTTCTTGGATGGGAAGCGAAACGTCTTCAAAGAAAAACCAGAAAGTCCCATTCCTTCTTCAAAAAAAGTGCATTTGGGACAACCATGACCTGGATGACTGAGAATCTCCACAGACTATCAGGGAAATACCTCAATTTATAGCAGGCCTAAGGAGTTGCTGATCTTAAGGCCCTGCTATTCCTTTTTGTTGGCCAGACAGATTTAGCTATTAGGAGTTATTCAGTAAAATGTCTATGGAAATTCTCAGTCATCCAGGTCATGGTTGTCCCAAAGTTGCTTTTTTTAAAGAAGCAATGGGATTTTCTGGGGTTTTTTTTTGAAGACATTTCGCTTCCCATCCAAGAAGATTCTTCAGCTCTGAAGAAGAGCTGAAGAAGAGATGGATGAGAAGTGAAACATCTTCAAAAGTCTAGTGAAGGACCAGGGGAGACAGGATAGCAGCCTTCCAATATTTGAGGGGCTGCCACAGAGAGGAGCGGGTCAAGCTATTGTCCAAAGGACCTGAAGGCCGGACAACGAATAATGGATGGAAACTGACCAAGGAGAGATTCAACCTAGAAATAAAGAGAAAATTTTCTGACAGTGAGAAACAATCAACCCATGGAACAGAAGTTGCCTTTGGAAGTTATGGGAGCTTCATCCCTGGAAGCTCTCAAGAAGAAACTGCACTGCCATCAGTCAGAAATGGTGTAGAGTCTCCTTGGTTGTGGGGGTGGGTGGGACTAGATGACCTCCCAGGTCCCTTCCAACTCTGTCTTAAAAGAAAAAACAGAAAGTCCCGTTGCCTCTTGAAAAATAAAGCAACTACTTCAGCAAGATTTGAAGGCCTCAATTTCCCTACTTTTGAGCTGTGTGGGGAGGACGAAGAGAAAATAGTGTGCTTCATTTGTAGCGCCCGCTGTTAAAACCATAATGTGAAATCATCCGTGTTATGTTGACAGCCCAACATGCTTGTGATGACATTCTGGCAGTGAACGTTTGTGTCAGCTACACACTTGTCCTGTGAATGTTATTTTGGCTGCCTGGGGATTGATCCATCCTTGGCATTACAAATTTCTTTTTATTCTGGTTTAAAGAGATCCAAGTTAGCCTGGTACATAAAAACGGCCTTTCTGCTTCTGTATTTATAGCCAACGAGTCTACTTTCAACGCTTGTCTTTGCAAGAGTGCCTGTCATATCAAGGGGCATTTTTGTTTCCTCCTTTAGCCTGTCATGCTTTTTCATCTCTCCTTGACTGACAGCTTCCTCTGGCTTTTCATCTTTTCTCCCGCAGGGCTGATGAAACCTCTCTTCCCTCTCTTCTCGGGACGAGAGCCCAGCCTCTGAATTCTTCTACTTCTTCTCGTCTGTCCAACAGAGCGAGGCCCGTTGAGTCTCAAGGCGGCTGCGACGAACTGGTGCATTTCGAGATGTCCCACCTCTGAGGTCCTGGACTACACAGGGAATTTTGGCAGAATTATTGTCATTGTGCATGCAAGCAGAATGTTAGAGCGACATACAGGAAGTTCCGCCTGGGATAGCAATAGCCCTTAGACTTATATATTACTTTACAGCCCTCTCTAAGCAGTTTACAGAGTCAGTCTTTTGCCCCCAACAATCTGGGTCCTCATTTGACATCCTTTGAAGGATGGAAGGCTGAGTCAATCTTGAGCAGGTCAGGATTGAACACCTGACAATGGGCAGAGTCAGCCAGCAATACTGCATTCTAACCACCGCCACCATAGGAAGGAAGGAAGGTAGGAGAAAAGGGAAGGAGAGAAAGAAGGAAGCAGTAGCAATAGCACTTAGACTTATATACCTCTTTGCAGTGCTTTTACACCCCTCTCTAAGCGGTTTGCAGAGTCAGCCTCTTGCCCCCACCAACAATCAGGGTCCTCATTTGACCCACCTTGGGAGGATGGAAGGCTGAGTCAACCTTGAGCTGATCAGGATCGAACTCCTGGCAGTGAGCAGAATTAGGCTGCAGTAGTGCATTCCAACCACTGTGATACCACGGTCTGTCCTTCCTTCCTTCCTTCCTTCCTTCCTTCCTTCCTTCCTTCCTTCCTTCCTTCCACTACTTAGGCTTCTATACCGCTTCACAGTGCTTTTACAGCCCCCTCTAAGCGGTCTCCAGTGTCAGCCTCTTGCCCTCAACAATCTGGGTCCTCATTTGACCCACCTTGGAAGGACAGAAGGCTGAGTCAACCTTGAGCCTGGTGAGATTTGAACTGCCAAATTGCAGGCAGCCAGCAGCCAGCAGACATAGGCTGCAGTACTGCACTCTAACCACTGCACCACCATGGCTCATCTTGGGCCTGGCCGGACTATTTTCATTTTGCCTGCAACTGGTCGTTAGAGCAGTATGCAGGAAGTCCTCGACTTAACAACCGCAATCAAGCCCAGGATTCCTGTCCTTAAGCGAGTTTCGTCCCGTGTTACGACTTTTCCTGCCGCGGTTTTCCAGCGAATCACTGTGGTTGGTAAGTCGGTTAAGTGAACCTGACTGCCTCCGCTGACTTCTGCTTGCGAGGTGGGCTCCAAAGGGGGAAGAAGAATCAAGTGAACTTGGACGCAGCCACCTTCGTAAGTACAAGCCTATTGTCAGTGTTGATTACGTGATTGTGGGGATGGCGCAAACGTTCCTCGGTCCTGTTTTTCAGTGTCATCGTAAACTTTGGTCACTAAATTGAACTGTTACAAGTCGAGGATTTCCCGCAGTAAGTCCGAGAGAAACATCCATGATGAGGACTTTGAACCTGGTATTTCATCTTTTAGTTACACATCGGCCACTTTGGAATATTGCGGGCCCTTAACAGATTAACAGAGTTGGAAGGGACCCAATTGCTCATCTAGTCCAACCCACCGCCCAAGCAGGAGACCCTACCCTATTTCTGACAGAAGGCAGTCCAGTCTCTTCTTGAAAGCTTCCAGGGATGAAGCTCCCACAACCTCTGAAGGCAACTTCTGTTCCAGAGGTTGGTTGATCACACAGTCAGAAAATTCCTCCATATTTCTAGGTTGAATCTCTCCTTGATCAGTTTCCATCCATTATTCCTTGTCTGGCCTTCGGATGCTTTGGAAAACAGCTTGACCCCATCTCTCCTCTCTGGGACAGCCCCTCAAATATTGGAAGCTGTTATCATGTCTCTCCTGGTCCTTCTCTTCCCTAGACTAGCCAGGCCCAGTTCCTGCAACCGTTCTTTGTATGATGTAGCCTCCAGTCCCCTCATCATCCTAGTTGCTCTTCTCTGCACTTTTTGTAGAATCTCAAAATCTCAATATCAGATTAACAGAGTTGGAAGGGACCTTGTAGGTCATGTAGTCCACCCCCCCCCCCCCCCAAGCAGAAGACCCTACACCATTTCTGATAGAGAGCAGTCCAGTCTCTTCTTGAAAGCTTCCAGTGATGAAGCTCCCACAACTTCTGTTCCACTGATTAATTCTTCTGTCAGGAAA